AGGTTGTACCTCTCACTTATTTTACTGTGTGCTTACATTACCATTTAATCATGGTTCTAACTTGTTAGCTCACTTTCCTTTTTATATTTCATAGTTACATGTCACTCACTACACAAGATCAGCTGCATGGAAAAGAACGTTTTAGATACATTTCAAAAGCAAAAAAATAAGTCTCCACAAAGCCTAACTCCTTGTTAAAACAGGAGTTACATTGTGTCTTTCCATTTAACTCCCTAACTCTAAACCTTTCACTAGCTTTTCACAGTGTTCGTGCAGCTACTACTGGTAGCATACGACAGGTAAGAAACCCTAACTCAAGGGGACAAATTATGAATAAACATGGACAAGACATTGACAAAAACAGCAGTGCCTACACGACATTTCACCAGGTCCTGTTTGTTTTAAAAAGTGGTTTTCAAGTTATCTTGCCTTTCATCTGACAGTAGCCTATAAACCTGCTTTTTCGTCCACTTAAAAAATAAATGGAATTTTTCTCTTCTTACACGTCCCGAGTCTTAAAGCGTGGGAGATCCGCTCTCCGGGCTTTCTTTAACCGATTTTTTGCAGAGGCTCCACCCCCGTCTCTCTGCCCCCTCCCTCCCCGACAAGCGCAAACAAAGAAAGTACTTCAAGCACGCTGTTGCTAGTCTAAGAATTTGTTTTCAGGTGCCGCCTCGCTTTCCGTGTCGCGTGTTCCAACAGCCGAACGAAACAGCGGGGCTCGGAAAGAAAGAGCCACGAGCGGGTCGGGGAGAGAAAAAAGTCGGAAAGGGAGGGGGGGACTTTTGTTTCGGACACAAAACGGGCCGCGGAGACTTAGGGGTTTGACAGGGCGCCAGCAGCTGAAGGGGCGGCAGCCTTCAAACCGACATCGCCGCGCTTATGTGTGTGTGTTTTTTTAAATGTCTGAATGGGGAACCTCCCCTCAACTGCCCCCCGCCTCAACTTCGAGTTAACGCTGTACAAAGAAGCCTTTAAAAAAAAACGGAGGCGAAGAAGTCCCAATTTCTTCCACAGCCTGTACTCGAGAGTTGCCCAAACCCCAAGCCCCACACGCACGCACTGCTTGACAATTGTTTAGCAACGCCACGAGGTAGGCA